CATATCCCAAGTACGGATATCGAAAGTTTTAAAAGTTATTATGCTGATTTTTTTTTAGCGGATTTTTTTTTTTTTTTTAGCGGATTGATAGCGTAATATAAAATAAATTAAACTATTTTTGATTATTAAAATTTGCGTTATAAAAAATGATAAAAGTACAAATATTTATTTTCGATGTTCTTCTTTAAAATTATGGCTTTTTCTGTAAAGATTTTAAACAAAATGAAATATATTTTTTAGACAAACTTAAATCAATTTTTCGGGCAAACATATGTCCATACTTTTTATGTAGAGTTGAGTTAGTATGATAATAAAGTTATATTAAAAAAATGTTCAACTTTAGTACCATTTTATTATTTTTTTAAAATTGACTAATTTTTATTGGAGCTTCCGTAAATTGCCTGCATTCTTTACGGTACTCTCGGTGAATTTCCTCTTTTTTTTTACCAACGCACAGTGGGTCAGAAGTCGGCAAAACCTAAAACATAAAGTTTAAAAAAACTTTTTTTTTTTTTTTTTTAATATAGGTTAAATAAGTCTAATATACGAAAATAATATTATTTATGATAATAGATTATGATTAAATAGAAATACTTGGCCGCAAACTACTCCAGTTCCGTCAGCAAGCAATGTTGAAAATTATTCATTATTTTTTCTAAATATTGCCGTTTATTTTTACATGCTTCCTGCTTTAAAAGGTAGGAAAATTTTATGCTATATTTTTTGAATTTGTATATAGATGTATAATTTATCCTCAAAATATCATTATAAAAAATATAACAGTATTTTTTTATGCCTAACTGTACAGGCTGTTTTTTAAATTATGTAAATTCTTTTTTTCTTTGTTGGTGTTTAAATAGTAGTGTATTAAGCAATATTAAAGATATGTTGCAGCTGTTTTCATAAGTACTTGATGTGTACTACTATTATCAAGCAAAATATTTTGCCAGTTTTTGCCAGTCTAGAGTGAGCAATGATTTTAATATGTAATAATTGTAATTTTTATAAACCGGCCGTGTTGTTATCTCATTAATATAATTTTTATAGTCCGGACGGACTATACTATTTATTGGCGAATATTTAAGAGAACATAATAATAAGAAAGAAAATATAATAATAATAATAATAAAAAAATATTATTAGACAATATATTCCTTTTGTATATATCTGTTCATATTGGGCATAAAATATTACAGTAGGTTGCCTAGTTTTTAACAAACACATGCTCATTATTTTGTTTGTACATTTAATCTACTCTCTCTCTCTTTCCCTCTCTCACTCTCTCTCTCTCTCTCTCTCTCTATATATATATATATATATATATATATATATATATATATATATATATATATATATATATATATATATATATATATATATACATATATATATATATATATATATATATATATATATGTATATATATATATGTGTATATATATATATATATATATATATATATATATATATATATATATATATATATATATATATATATATATGTATATATATATATATACATATATATATATATATATATATATATATATATATATATATATATATATATATATATATATATATATATATATATATATATATATATACATATATATACACACATTATTATATATATTATTATATTATCTATTCTTATATTAATAGATGTTCTTTTTAATTTTAGATGAATAGAAGACAGTTATACATTTATATTAAAGAAACTGACTGTAATAAAAATGATTTACTTTGTAAACTGGTTGAGTATGTGGAAAATGTTTCACCAAACACATTTTTAGATATAAAGCCAACATTATCATCATTTGTTCATCAATACAAACGTAAAATGACAACTGTAAAAAGGGAGTATACTCAATTTGAAAATAAATATGCTACTTGGCTAGATGCTATTATTTCTTTTAAACTTATAAAAGCTGTTACTCCTGAAAAAAATTATGGTGGAAGACCAGAAACACCTTTTAACAAATCTTCAATACGATCAAAGGACAGAAAAGTTTCTAACATTATACATATGTACTCTACTAACGAAATATTATATGCAGCTTCAAGGTCATTAAAAAAAGATGGGAGAAATGCAGAGGCTATCAGTGTCAAAAGTATTTTATATACCCCTCAAGCAAGTCTTTTTTCTGACAAAGCACTAGCACTCTTCTTAGATGCTAATCTGTCAAAGGCAACATACCAACTTCTCCGCAACAATGCTTTGGATCTAGATTCAGCTATTTATCCAACATACCATGATTTAAAGAGTGCAAAAGACAGATGTTATCCAGATGATGTTATAATCTCTGATTACTCAGCAGAAATTCCGTTGCAGTCTCTACTTCAGCACACATCACAACGACTTTGTGATTCTCAGATAGAAGTGCTGACTGCTGATTCCCTTAAAATCTTTAAAAAACTTACACTTAGATCAAAAATAGGATTTGATGGTGCAACTGGTCTGTCAGTGTATAAGCAGTCGAGTACAGATGAGGCTGGCAGGAGTTTAGCCAATGAAGTATCTTTATTTATTACATGCTTAGTGCCATTAGACTTATACTTTTTTACAGATGCCAAGCGGCAGCTTGTTTGGAGGAATCATAAACCTTCGTCGCCTATTTTTTGCAGACCTGTCCGGTTTAAATACATCAAAGAAACAAAGGAAGTAGTCTTAGAAGAATTTGAGTCAATTAAAAATGACATCAAAACACTCCCAGTTTCTAAAGTGATAATTGCTGGACAGACATTAGATGTACATCATATCATAGATATCACTATGATTGATGGGAAAGTGCAGACCATAATTTCCACTGCTACAACTTCCACTCAGTGTTGCAGTGTTTGTGGCATCTCACCAAAGTTCATGAATGATCTGCCAATAGTTTTAAAAAAAGAAGTGAAAAATGAGAATCTGCAGAATGGCATCTCAACACTTCATGCCTGGATTAGGCTTTTTGAGTGTTTACTACATATTGCATACAAGATTCCAATTCAGAAATGGCAAGCAAGAGGTGTAGATGATAAAGCTATAGTTGCCACCAGAAAGAAGAAAATACAAGTTGCATTCCAAAATGAGATGGGTCTTGTTGTAGACCAGCCATGCTCTGGGGGTGCTGGTACCTCAAATGATGGGAACACTGCACGTCGTGTGTTTCAGCAGGCTGAAAAGTCTGCTGAAATAATGGGTGTTAGTCCTGTTCTTATCAGAAGACTACATTCAATATTATCAGTGATGTCTTCTGGATTTGATATTGAACCTAACAAATTTAAAAAATATTGTTTTGAGACTGCAGAGTTGTATACACAGTTATATATATGGTATCCTATGTCACAGACTTTACATAAAGTTCTGATTCATGGACATCTAGTGATAGAATTTTTTAGCTTGCCTCTTGGCATGATGTCTGAGGAAGCACAAGAAGCCTCAAATAAGTACTTTAAAAAATACAGGGAGTGCTTCTCTAGAAAATGTGACAGAAAAAAAACCAATTTGGACGTGTTTCATCGCCTTTTATGCCATTCAGATCCTTTTATTGCTCAATACCGTAAAACAAACAGTACAAGAAAAGCTATTCTGCCTGCCGATGCAATTGCTCTGTTGAAAGAGCCCAGCATCATTTGCTCTTTGTGAGTTTTTGATGATATCTTAGAAATAAATGTTTTTGCCAATGAATGTACGTGTTTAGCAATAAATGTTTAATTATATATAAGATTTTTTTTTTCAATATAAATAAAAACAACATCTTAATATATTAATATAGTTTTTAATCATAGTTTTATTTGTTTTAATTTATTATGAGGTTTTGGCTAGAAATTAACTATTTTAACCCATTATAGTTTTTTATTATTGTGCATAGTAATAATAAAGGTTCTACCATCTAGTGTTGCTAGATTATTGCAAGAATCTAGAATAGTATACTTTTTATACTATTCTAGATTCAAAAAAAACTTTAAATAATATTTTTGTTTCTAATTTTATTGCCGAATTAAGGGAGGGGGGCTATGGCCCCGGGGCCTTAAATTTTAGGGGCCCCGTAACATTCAAGAAGACCTTCCCCTTACAAATCGTGCTATATAAATTTGGCTAATAAAGTACTGCAGAAAAAAATAGCCCCGGGTCCCGAATGTTCTTAATCCGCCTCTGGCTAGTTTACGGAATTTTTTTTATAGGCTAAAAAATTGGAATTTTTCAAAATTATGCAATAAAAATCCAAGTTTTTATAAAACTAAAATTTTTTTTTGCATAATTTGTTTTTCAATATAATACACCGTTTGTAATAAAAAAAAAAAAAAATTAAAATATATTTTAGAGGTTTTGGCTGAAAATTGGCACCTCTGACCCACTGTGCAACGAGGGAAATTTTAAGCTCAATATATTAATAAGCTCGGTAAAGAGAGCGCAAAAGCGAAAGTTTTTCCTACTGGCAAATAGAACAAATTTAAACTGGAATCATAGTTCATTATGAAAACGATATTTATAGCATATTACTATTGTATTATAAAAAACGAAAAACGGTCACTAAATTAATTGGATAATATTTACAGGTTTTATTGAATGTAACTAAACCTATAGCAAAACAAACATTTTGTTGCGGGAAAAAGTTTTTATGGAAAATTATATTTACAGATGTTACAAAATAAGGTTTTTTTGCAATTAATATAGAGTTTTTTCATAAAACAAGTTATTAAAGTATTCATTTGGAAACATAATATTATGTGAAAACAGATAACATTTTAACAAGTTTAGTAAAATTCAAAACAATGCAGATTAAAAAACTTTTATAAACTTGAGCAATCATCAAGTTAAAGCAATATTAAATTGTTTAATTGAAAGTTTATCGCATTAAACCATTTTGTTTAAATTGTATTTTCTTGCAGCATTTTGTTGAAGGGCAATTACTGTATTTAACTTCAAATGTTTATAAACACTAATTATTAACGAAACCAACTCATCGCCGACATCATATGTCGGCGATGAGTTGGTTTCTTGACATTACACGTCAAGATAAGATGATAGATATGTGGATATCTATCATCTTATCTTGACGTGTAATGTCACCATATGCAAATGAAAAATCTCGCGCGTCTTTGATGGCATCGTCTGAAGCTAGATAATGAGTAATATCACCATTTTGAAGCATTTTTTTAAAGTGGTCCAGAAATATGTCTTTTTCTTCAAATGTAATGGACAGTTCCATCGCTAAAAATGCAACAAATTAAAAGAATGCATTTATTTAATAATAATACAGTCAATTCTCCATATCTCGAACCTCCAAGGAACCAAGAAATTAGTTCGAGATAGCAAATGTTCGAGTTGTCGAGAGTATAATATGATTAAGGGTTCAACGGGATTCAAAAAAAGTTGGAGATACTCAAAAGTTGGAGATATCTAGATATCCAGAGTGAATGTATTTAAAACAAACGTCATTTACATAAAAGTAAAAATTAAATAAAAAAAGAAGATACAAACATATTGCCATACACACACAAGGCACGCAAAAAATGCCTCCGATAAAAAACAAAAAGCATGTTTATAAACATTTTTGCTATTATTTTTTCGTTATTATAATAAATATTATAGATATTTTAAAAAACAACATAAAAACAACTCACTATTTGAAATTTGCACATTTGAGACTTCATCTCTTTTAAATGCCACTACATCTTGGGAATTGCCTAAAATTTAATTATGCAATTACTTTTGCCACACTCAACAGAAACAAAATATCTAAGAATGCATTAGAAGACAGTTTAATTTATACTGAACTTTAGGCGAGGCAACATGGTGAAACTTTCTTTTTATTATAAATTAAATTTAAAAATCTGCTGCAGTTATGATTTATAAATAGTAAGTAATTTGTATACTGTGATATAATGTTACCTGAATCTTCGTCTTCATTTATATTGTTGCGATTAAACTCTAATAATTTTTGCTCATTGATTGCTATAAATATACAAAATAGATATTCTTATTTATTGCAAAGAACTTGAAAAAACAAGTATTTTGAAAGTTTTTGTTGGTTTGTAACATTCTTATTAGAAATTACTGAAAGTTAAACTAACTATACTTAAGGTTAAACTTACTGGAAATTATTGCCATTTGAGTATCTACTGATTCAGTTAAACTATCATCATTCTCTAAAATTTAAAAAGCAGTATTTGTTTATAAAATGTTCAATGAATTTGAAGTTCAAAATGAATTACTTAATTACATTTTATTTCAAAGGAAAAACTGCCACAAAACTATAACAAATCAAAATCCTCTAAAACGCTCAGTTGATATATGTACTTAATGCTTGGAAGCCTCAAAAACCAATATGATTTATATACTATTCATACAAAATAGTAAAATCTTAATGGTGTTAAATAAAATAGTTCAAAGCTTCAGAAAATAATTGGTCTAAGGTTTCATTTGACTTACTTTCACTCTGTACAGAAAAATGGGGGTTGTTGTTTTTGCAATTTTTTGTTTTTCCTTTATGACATCGTGAGACACATGGTATTCCATTTTCAAAGCATCGACAGTGCTTGGTTTGGCAAGCTTTTTTACATCGACAAAAGACTACTTTACTAGTGATTTCATTTAAGACGGCCTCACTTAAGCTAACATTGGCATCACTTTTAACTTTGACAATACTGCTGTATGGCATTAAGTGGGTGGCATTAAATCTTTTTTCAAGAACTCCATGTGATGTCACCAATTTATAGGTTGGATTTTCCCCAAACGACTTATGAAGAACAACACATGGCAAACGCAGCATATCTGTAGAGTTACGCAATGATTTTGGTATAGCCACACTGACATGATCACCTTCTTTGAAAACTGCAACTTTAAATTTTTTTTGTTTATTATACTTTTTAACCATGAATTTTGCATTTTTTTCCAGATTACTTGCTGTTTCATGGCAAAGTTTCTTGCGAATTGGACAAGTTATCTGAAAACACAACTTGATATGAAAACTTGAATAAAAAAATTAATTCGAAAGATTTTTTTTAACTGAAAAACATTAACATTATAAAATATTTTTTTATACCTTCATCCTATCTTTAGTATCTTCTTCAAACTCATGGTGGTACGAAAAGTCAACAATACCACAGTCTTCTCCGTCAGTGAGAGTGTTATCACTTAAGCCACCTTGATACAAAAATAAAGAAATAAAGAAGATCAAAAAATATTTTGTATACTGAAAACAAAATATTTCTAAGTATTTGAAAACAAAAAATTCAATTAAAGACATGAAAACTGAAAGTTTTAATGGTTGTCAAACATTTTTGTTAGACAACAATTATAATTAAGACCACAAGTAATAACAAAGTAAACAGTAAGTTACCTTCAATATCACTTGAAGTTCCACTGCATTCTGCAGTGTTACTACCTTCATCATCTGGAAAATAAATAACATGAGGCATTTTTCTAATCAAAATGTACAATTGCTGGTCTAATTAAAATGCACAGTAATTTTTAATATAATAGATAATACATTTTGCTTTTGCAATGCTTTTGTAAGATCTGCTGCATTCTGGAGTGTCAGTTGTCCTACCATCAGCAACATCTAGTCAATAACAAAAATTTCAGATATTCATAGTGAAAATGAATAAACCATCCAATATTTTATAAAAGAAACTTGCACACACACACAAAATGGAATTTCAAATAACTTATTTGATTAATGAATAAAAATGAAGAAAGTAATCCAGGTTTTTTATTATAAAATCAACAATTTTGTGACACAAATGACAAAAAAGATAAAAAAAAAAAAGAAATTTATGTTCATCCTGCTATATTGCAAAAAATGATTTTTTAATAGGATTGACATTTAACTCACTCAAATAGGATTGACATTTAACTCATCTTTGAATTTACCTTGATTAGGATTCTTAATTATGTTTGCAACATCATCTTCATTTACTTCTTTACCCTCTAAAGGGAATTGTCCATTTGGTTTTTGGCCAAACACAATCTCATAAGGTGTCGTTTTTATGCTCCTTACATATGTAGTATTCATAACATCTATACAAATTTAGTTAGATTTTTAGGGGAAAAAAATAAAATATTTTTTCCTATATTATTACAGTAAATTGTTTGTCAAAATGATAACAAAATATGTTACATAAAAAAATTCTATCATTTTAGTGGCAATAAAACTGATTAACTTTGAGCATAAGCTTTTCATTAAAAAAAACAATAATTTACATTAAACTTACATTGAATTTCAACCAACCATTCTGACCAGTTACTTTGACCAGAATCGTATTCACGAGAAGATATTAATCGCTCTATGGTATAGTTGCCCTGTTCAACTAAACCTTGACTTTGAGAATGTCTTGGTGAACCATTTACAATTTGGGTTTTCCCAGGCCATGTTAACAAAAGTGATTTTATAACATCATTTACAAATTCACTACCATTGTCACTGTGCAAAATTGCTGGTAAACCAAAGTAACTCAGCACAAACCTTTTAAGATTGTTTGCTGTTTCTAAAGCTGTTTTATTTCTCATAGGAAACAAAATATAAAACTTACTGAAATGATCAACAACATGACCAATATATCTGAATTCCTTATCTGGCTTAGATTCCATTGCAATCAAATCAATCTAAGTATATTTAGTATATAAATATAATATAAATAGTCAAACTTTATAAATAGCAGAATAACATTTAATAAACAACAAAGTTATATTTAACAACAAACTGAGTATATTAGTTAAAAAAACATGGTTAAAAAACAAATGAGTATACTATTTAAAAAAACATGGTTAGAAATTTAAAGAAAAAAACATATTGTACTTGAAGACGTTGCAAAAACCCAGTAGAAATTATTGGTTGTAATGGTGCTTTTTTTAACTGCCTTTTATTTAAATTGCAAGTTGGGCAGAAGCTGATAAAAATTTCAACAGTTTTTCTTGCAATGTTTGCATAACCCTCAATAATCTATAAAAGAAAAGTTAATTTATAAATACAGCAAGCCCCTACATTTAAAACTGAATCTTTAAAATGTAGAAAACTATAATATTTTAGGTAGTTAGTATTTATCTGAAGGTAGATAAAATTAGTACAATATCATATTTTCCACAGCATATAAAAAGTAAATATACCATGACTGTCACAATAGAAAAAGAACAACATAAAATAAAAATAAAAATATCAGTAAGTAATCAGTACCTTCTTATAAGTTTTTAAAGCCCCAAGATGCAGACCATTCTGGCAATGTGCAATATTAATAGCAGAAAAAACATCTTTAGTACTCGCTACACGACTGTAGTTTCCAAATGGCGATGATTCTCGCAAATTATTCTGAATTGATAAATAAATTTAATTAGATATTTACTTATTAAAACTTTAAAACCAATTTTAAAACACTTTAAATATACTAGACAGCATGATATATTATTAATAAAAGTATAATTGTAAACACATTTACCTTTAAACTAACTATTTAATGCACAGACAAATTTTGTTAAAAAATCTATTAAAGTTTCTATCTATCGAAGCTAAAATCTAACAAAGTTTCACCCTGTAATACAACGAAAAACATAAAATGTGCTGTATAGTCTGTTTACTTTTATTATATTCTGACATATAAAAGTTAAATAGCATACACAAAATGCATGTATACACAAATCGTGTACACAGGGTGAAACTTTGCGTCACAATATAAATCTTATATCTTATCAAATTTATGATAATATCTTATAATAAGATAATATCATAAATTTGTTTTTCAGTATATGATGCAGTATGATTATTTGATGATAGAAAACAAATATATGCAGTAAATATAGCAGATAAAATCTACCTCTGTATTACATTTAGTTGGAGCACATAAAATATCTTTTAAACCTAAGGGTGGGTAATCAATTAGTTTAAACTTGTTTGACTTGATTCTTCGTTGAATATTCCGTGAAGTAATATATCCAGTTTTTCCATCATTTTTATCTTTCAAATATTCGATAATGGAAGTATATTCACATTCTGATAAAACAGAGCTGTTTGACTTGTTGTTAAGATTTAACCATTTTTCAAACTGATATTTTTGCTGTTCAAAACATTCAGGATTCATTTTAACAATTTTTCCTATCATAGGATTACAAAAATTAGACATGAAACATTCATAGACTTTATGGATACCAATACATATTTCAAATACGTTTGTATTACTATACAAATACTATTTGCAATATATTACAATACTAATATACATTATTTTACAATACAATAATATACAACTTTTTATATACTAATACGAAACACTAATTTTTTATTTTTTTTTATTCTTATCTAATGTTAAAATATAATAAATTATATAATATATCATAAAATATTTTCAAAAAATCATTCGCTCTTGAGTGTTTGCATTTTAAAGTTTAAAAATTTGCTTGAAATGACATTATAAATATCAACTCGCATTAAAAAGTCACTCACCCCAAGTAAAACTGACCTACCCCGAGTTTCAACGAAAAACCGCACTCGGGGTGGAACATCACCCCAAGCCCGGCTTCGGTTGAAAACGGACTTAGGGTGGAACAACACAACCTGAAAAGAAAATATTTATTTATTAAAAATCAAATCTTAGTAAATTAAAATATATTTCTATTTTTTTCTAAAAAAATATGGTTAGATAGAACCTGGTCTTCACATATTTCATCGTATAATCTTTTTTTTTACATACTCAAAAGGTTGGCAGTTGGTCCTCAACATTGATGTCTTCAGGAAGGTGTAAATTGAAAAACCTTTTGCTAATTTTTTTTGAAATTAAGTAAGCTTTGTCATAAACACTTTCAAAATCTGTTTTTGAAATTTCTGACTTAATAAACTCGATCATATTCTATGCAGTAAATAAATATAAACCTTTTGCTTAAAGATACCTTGAATTTGGACCAACAATTTTAAAAATACGGATAAATATATGAGAAGTAAGTATGATTTTAAAGCAACATAATTTTTCCAGTAGAGATGAAGCCTCTGAACAAATTTTAGTCTAAAATTTTGGATACTTGCTAACAAAATGTAATGCATAAATTGCTGTGGAAAATAGAGGTTCATCGCTGTTAAATACCATACAAATGCCAAATAGAAAAAAAGCACCTTGTATTGTTGTCTCCAATTTTTTGAAGTCTTTCATTTTGTTTGTTCCTGGTGTTATTTTAATCAATCCAAATATTCATGTGTTTGTATGATTCTCTAAAAAAAGTTGACAGTCTATTTAAAAAGCCAAATTAATTTTTAGCATTATTATTTTAACATGTATCACAAATGCAGAAGTTGAGTACTATATCACCAAATGTATATTTTTTTTGGATTTGGTTCTTTTATTCTAGACGGTAACCCTTAAAACTCTCCTCAAACATTTAATTCAAAAAAAAATTAAATATTTATCGAATATAGATAACTGCTTGATCAAAAACACCAACATTCTGTGTGCTATTAACTTAAATACTAAACTCCTGACCAATGCCGACGACCAATGTGACACCCTCCACCCCACTTCATCAATGATTTTTTTGTTCATTTACTCTTTTGTTAATTGACTCTTTTTGACTAGTTAGTCGGCAAATGTAGACCCTTTTTGACCAGTTATTTGGTAGTTTTTGATAGACAGTCGGCAAATGTCAGTGCCTTACTGACATTTGCTAATTCCACCATCCCCCACCCCCACACACACGTAAAACCTACTCGCGACGGCCTTGCTTCTGACTACTAACTTCTTGTTTTATCTTAACTCTAATATAATTTAGGATGGAATCAATTATTTTGTTGATTGAGTTTTTTGATAAAAACGTTACAAGTAAACCTTGACCTCTTGAGTGCGTTAAATTATTTTCTAGATATAATTTTAACGTTCTTTATTTTTTACAGATGAATTTAGATGCTTCTGTAAAATAGGATCTCTCTTCGCTAATTTATGTAAATTAGAAAATGTATGTTTTTTAGGTTGTATGGTAGGATCTTTAGTAAACTGCAGTTTTTGCTTGATATCACAGTTGTAGAATGTTTAAAAACTAATTGTATGTTCATCTTTAAAAATGTTGTTTTTACTATTCTATTTCTATTTTTTATTGAATTTTTTTATTAAAAACATTCAATAATAACATTCCTAATCTTTAGATTATAATTCACTATTCATGAAGTACATACTGTACTATGATAAAATATAAACTTACTTGGTAATAAGGTTCTCAATTACCCACAACTCCATCTTAATTCATCTCAAATTCCCTAATTCCTAAAATGAATGAAATTTTCAAATTATAATTTACGTAGTGTGTAATTTATATTCTTTTTTTAAAATTATTTTGTAAGTGTTAGGTAAAATAATTAATTATAAATAGATATTAACAGTTGGTATACACTATACATTCGGACGTGTATTCACTATACATTCTGACGTGATAAACATATCTACGTAAAAAACAAAAAGAAAAACCCGTTATAGTTTATTAGTCTCCTGTTTCAAATGAAAATAATAAAAAAAATTTTGTACAGTAGGTTTTTATCATTATGTGATAAGTTAACATATTTTGTAGAGACAAAGGTGACATATTTTTGTAAAAATATATTCCATTTTATAATAGACTTTATGTTTTGGTCTATCTTTGGTTTATCTTTTGGCACCATATTTTCTTAGAGAATTCTGTGTTGTTTCTATATTTAGCTGATGCAAATAATTTGTGATGTTTTGCGTATCTTAGTTTGAATAGTTTATGACCAATGTCAAAGTATACTTTTTTATTATGATCATGATGACAGGAACTTATGGTTGCTTGGTAGACAATATTGCTAGACAAACTCTGTTTGTTCAAAGGAGAAAATGCTTTATCTACGCAGTTAGATTGGTTAGTTTTTAATTGATTTTTGTTGTGCAAAATTTTGAAATAATACGAGTTTATGATAGACTTTAGGTTAGGCATGCAAATGTAGCTGATCTTAATAGATTTTTGTTGAATATTTTATGTTGCTTGGGGCCGCACAGTGGGCCAGAATGGCCAATTTTGATACAAAATTAATAACTAATTTAAAATTAGTGCTACATTCACTATATTTGGCATGAGTACAATTCACAATTTAAAATTAGTGCTACATTCACTATATTTGGCATGAATATAAGGTTAGAGCTTCTTATGAAGGTGTTATTTTTTATTTAGTTGCTATGGATACCTATTTTTTTTGCATAGCAACAATCTACTTTTTGTAGTTGCAGATTTGTTATGTGTGCTGTATACACCAAATTTGGCATGAGCACCAGTGTAAGGTCTGCGCCTCTTATTAAGATGTTATTTTTTATTTGGTTGCTATGGATACCGAAATTTTGCATAGCAACGACCTACTTGTAGTTCTTTTTGTGTGTCATACACACTAAATTTGGTAAGAGTACCAATACGAGGTATGCTTTTTATATTCTGATATTTAGTTTGGTTGCTATGGATACCTTATTATGCATAGCAACATCATATATTTTTATAGTGACAGTCAATTTTATCCAAATTCTTGACTTATTTACTGCAAATTATTAAAAAAATAGGATTTTTAATTTATGTTAATTATAGAATACTAACAATTTTAATTTACAATGCATAAATTTAAATTTTAATAATAACTAAAGCAAGAAACCAAAAAATAGCCTGTAAAATTCCATAAAAAGAACAATTATACACTGTTTTTTAACAGTTGCAGAACACCTTCTGGCAAAACTTTCTTCTTAATACTAACTATTGTTCTTAGTGAAGAAATGACTGGATCACTAGAACAAAATAATCGCTTAAATAAATCTTCATTACATTTGATACGGTCACACTTGCGTGTAAAATGCTCACGTTACTTTTTAAAATCTTAATTCCGAGCCTCTATAGCTTCTTCAATATAAACATTATATATCTTCTTTCGGCATAAACATTAAAGTCAAATTTACGTAATAAACAATAAAAATTATTTAATCATTAATCTTTCAAGAGCTTACAACAACGATTACATCATTGAGTATTGCACACATTAACAATAAGATGGAGCGCAAGCAATTATGTAATTTTGAAAATCTCTTTGTCATAAAACTAATTACAACTTTTACAATCTGCTTTACTTTATAAATTTGTTATCGATAAGACGTTACATAACTTTCTAAATTTCTGATACAGCTGCTTATTATACCATTCACAAATGGTATAGAACATACTCAGGTATTTTATGTACATGCATGTATCATACGCATTTGTGAGTGATGAAGCTAGTCAAAATAAACTTTAATTATAGTTTTTATTTATGTGCATTTTATTCAGAGTGTAATAAAATAATTCGTAATAAATAAATTTAGCATTTTGCACATACTATATGAATTATTATACAAATGCAATTAAAACTACCATGTTAAAAACCACATTTGAAATAGCACGTGAAGCTCGCAAATTACCATGCAGCTAATTATGGGGCACACAGGGGCAGATAATTTTAATAAAAAAAATTTTGTTATCATCCCATAAGTAATTAAAAAAATATTGGCAACATGTTTTTACATGTTTTTTAATAACACGTTTAGTTACTCGGCTACGTAGCTCCTTATGACCCCATTTGTTACTGCTTTCGTAAATAAATAAATAACTTTGCAAAATAATAAGTTATATGTTACCATGTATTGTTATATTACAAAACTACAATACATTTACATATATATGTAGATAATAACTTCAATTTACTATGTTATCATAAAGTTTTATGAATCGGATATATATATTATTATAATACAATGCATTATAAAATCAATTTAACAATAATTCTATTTACTAAAACATAATATTACAACCATTTAAATTTTCTTCAGGGTACTCACTTTTAAAAAAGATAAAAAATTTTTGAATTGTTAAAGGTTGGTTTTGCTCATTTTTTTAATTTTTGCTCACTGCTGGCACACTGTGGGCCGCCTGGAAAATGTATTTCTATTAGGGCTAAAAAACGGTTTTCTACTTTTGTTTTGACATTTAAGCTGAACAAAGGGTTATACCAAATGATATTACATTTTTATTTTAGGTGAAAATCAATAACAGCAAAAACTAAAAAAGTGCTTATTGGTGATTTTTTTAAACCAGTCTACAACATTTTGCGTAATTTGCCATTGATTCAAAAAAAAGTTTTTTTTGAATTTTTAAGTTCACAAATAATTTTTGTATAAATTACTTTAGTAATTCGTCCTTCCTCATTTTTTAAAAGGTTCGAAATGCGCACAGATGTGTTGTTAAGGAAGTTTTCTTTGTGGTCTTTTAAAGTCAAAAAACAGCTAAAGGATCCGTTTATTTTTATTTTTTTATATACCTCATGGTTGGTTTTTAAATTTGTTTTCCATCTTTCTTTATATAATCTCTTAATTTTAGATTTGTTTTAGATGATGGTAATAGCATTTGTTAACAGATATTTGTAATCCTCTTTGGACATTTAGTATATATCTGATGTATTGTGAGCTTGTGTTAGGGCTTCGTAAGATATGCGTATAGTTTTAATGTCTTTTTTCATATCATTTTAAAAAGTGTTGCGT